TGACAGGCCTGAAGCCCCATCACCAAAGGTGCCAGTCCATGAGACTTCAAGATGGACATAACTCCAACAATAAGGTAAATAACAAATGTAACACAGTATTTTTTAGTAGGGTAATAATTTATAGATACAGTATATAATACGAAATGCATTTTTATTGTGTACAAGAAAAAAAGAGACACTGATGCAAATGCCTCCTGAAGGTCACCTCTTGCAACGAATCCAACGCTCCAACGCACTGGGGTTGATCCATATAGTACATTGAATCGAGGTTGTACTGTACTCTTAACAGTAAGGCTATCAGAAGAGTACTGGAGAACAAGCAGAGAACACAACTCACAAGACTCCAGGTCAAGGTGTCAGTGACCCAACAGGCAGCATGACGGAGATAAAAGAGGCAACTGTCACCCTGTCAGGGTACAGCAACCAACGAACCTGCACAAGACGGGTTGGAACCTGAAAGACACATCCACTGGGCCACCGAGCCCCGACAGGGTTTTCCAGAGCCCATAGGGTGACGACTATGGAAAGTAGGACAAGGTGTTGCTAACCGGTTAACACCCAAATCTAACAAGGGGTAGATGCTAACACTGAAAACCCCTGCGAAGTGTACAATCATGGGGGCCTAGCAGAGGGCCACCAAACAACACCAGTGGAACTATAGCCACACTAGGCAGACCCCTACCAGGCAAATGAAAATAAAAAGAAAAGAAAAACCCCGCAAAAGTGCACCATCCCCAGATGCAACAAGAACCGGTTGCCGGGTAGGTAGCAGGTCGCGCAACACCTTGAAAACCCAACCAGCACAATACCAGTCCCTACCCAAGGCCAAATAAGGGTCCCAAGCCCCAGCTGGCCTCAAGGGTGAGACAAATGCCGAGCAGCAAGAACCCATACGGGAATGGGTCCTGAACGCCCCAGGGAAGATAACCCTGACACGCAGGGGTAGTACTCACAGGGCGCTTAGGGAAGGAAGCCCCTAGGCGCATGCAGCCCCGGTACTGATGAGGAACACCTGGCCACCACACAACACAATAACACAGCAGTGAGCACCACCGAGACAAACACCGCCTAGGAAACTGAGGGCAGAGAAGCTTCTGTCCCTTTTGACATTAGCTTATGAACCGTAGTGCTATGCACCCGGCGTGGTGAGATCCGTGGCTCCCCCTCCCCCTCTCGGGAAGGGGAGGGCTGCGCGAACGAGCGGTGTGGCAGTAGTGTGTTACGTTTGCTTGTTTCTGTGGGACTGAAGGGAGTTCTACCTCTCTGCTCGGTTTTTATTGTTAGTTTCTTACCATGTGGGGTTTGTCTTGTTATGCCTACCTTTCTGGGTGCCTAACCTCGGTTGATGGCAGATAAGGAAAACCCCAACCACAGGGGTTTTCCAGGGCAATTGCTCCCTGAAACCTCTCTGAAGGGGCCAGGTTCTGGCTCATGGTCCCTGGTAGGTCTGAACTCCATAACTAATGTCCCGGTCTAATATAAAATACATTAGCCCGATAAGCTCCAGGAAGTCGTAGGGGCTCTCCTCAGAAACAAGTACATTATCTAGAGACCAAGTAGGCTCGTGGACAAGAAGTAGTAGGCTGAAAGTGATAAAAAGGAAAAGCCAGCTTAAATAAAAATGTCCACATCAAAGGCCAAAGAAAATGGGTATAATAAAGCTAAGCAAATGGAAGCGATAGAATTAGGCACGAGATGCCTCTTGACAAAAAGACAAGACATGAAGGACAAAAAAATTGGAACTAACAATGAAGACAAGCAGTGAATAAACAGAAAAAGATGAAAACGACTGCCAAACAGCTACACACTACTGCCAAGACGAAAGTTGTATATGCGATACCAGAAGATTCGCCATCTCAACCCCTACAGATAGTGGATAACCAGACTGAAAAAAAAACACAAAGCTTGGTGGAGAGCCATGGACCATCAAGGAAGGGCTTTTCCTGTAAAGACATCATCTGTCTGGACAGGAAAAGAAGAACCAAACTGGCAGGAAGAGATAAAGGAAAACTCACTGATTCCAGTCCAGGGGAATGGCATCTGTGAAAACCTCATGGTCAATGAGGGTCACTGCAGCTTGAAGAACCAGAGACCACACTAATGCAAAGAGGTCCACCTGAGGGCAGCTGAACATCTTGTAATGACAATGCAAGTGCCACACATGCCACTGAGTATTCATAGATGACAGAAACTGGCAAATCCTCAAAGTCAAGAGAAAAGTGTGCAAGCCAGGAGAATGGTATCCCAAACCTGAGCTAAGGAAAATCAGACCTGATATCAAATGAAGCAAGACCAAGAAAGAAAACAAGGACCTACCCTTGCAGCAGAAAGTGAGGCATGTTTGCCCCCACATATGCCGGAGAAAGATGAGACAGTGCAAACTTGTGGAAAAAAGACGAGTCCAAGAGACCTATCACCTCCTGGAAACACAACTGTGGGGGGCGGGGCAAAAGTAAAACCTGCTCAAAAAATGCCAAATGGATAAAAAAAATAATCACTGAATGTAATGAAATGCCACTTTTTGATGAGTCCTTGTTGGCTCCATGTTGCAAGTTGCTCTGGATAGCTCCTCACATATCCAATCGTATCAGGGCCTCGGAAGTCATTAAAAACCTACCAGAAATCAGAGGCCACAACATGGTTCGTTCACTGAGGTCTAAGGAACAGAGGCTACTAAATCACTGAGAAAATACTCAAATTCTACCTACCCACCCAAGGTGTCAGCATTAGGTACTAGTGGCTCAGCTGGTGCACCTTATCAGTCAAGAACTGAGTTAAGGCAAACTGACAATTTTGAAAAGAGAAGGGAGGATCCAGGGGAGCCAATGAGGACCAACCAGAAACCCAGCAATGAATGTAATAAAATGCCCGTTTTCTGGGTCCCTGAAGCTATCCAAACTGATATAGTGCTATATTAGTTGGGGTCATCAGTCACAGAGTCCTCAAGACTACTGGGTACCATGAGCCCGAACCTGGCGTCCCCCCAAAGAGGTGCAGGGAGCAATGGCCCATGAACACTACATTTAAAGTATGTCATACTTGCCATCAGCTGGGGGAGGACCCAGAAAGGTAGGCAAATCAAAACAGACCACTGTCTGATAAAAATATTCGAGTATCCACCAGCCTGTATTCTCATCTTTGTCCTAGTGCAAGCTGCCTCTCCTTCCTGGTAAGTCCCGCTTTTTCTTCTCTGTGGTTAGTTAGCTTCAGGAAGCTCCCTCCAGAAACCAAGCATTAAATGATATGAAATGCCTCTGTATGAGCCCTGATGGCTCCCCAACTCCCTGCCTCCCTACCAAGTTATCAGGTTGGTTGGTATGTTAATGTGGTATTCATCAGCTCCAGAACTGACAAGGAAGAGCGCCAGACAGGCGACACAAAACAATGGAAAATTCACATCTCTGAAGAAGCTAACCAGGGGGACTGGTCAACGGTCACGTAGTCACGAGGTGATCAGAGCTGATACCTTCATGATAATCTACAGGGATTAACCCCTTCACATCAAACATCTTCACATTTTCACATCAAGCAAGCCAAAGCCCTCATATTCAGCTGGAGAGCAGGAGATCATGGGCAGGACAGAACAGTGGGATCAGGAGTGGAGGGTGGAAGTGGGTGTGTGACTCACGGGAAGAACATCATCTCGAGCTCATGTGGAATATCCGGATAGTAAGAACGTCTCTCTCCTGCGCCCAGCACATTATCAATCAAATTATCTTTGCCTTGGTTAGAAACTTTAGTTAGGAAATGTCTATTACAGTGTGTTAAGTAAAGTCATACTCAAGTGTCATTCCAGTGTCTATTAATGGTTCCTGTCTTAGTGATATTGGGCTTACTGTCTCTTTTAACCCCTAGTGACCTAGTGCCCTTAATTATTCAATGCTCCTCCCCCCTTTTGTCCCTTAGTGAATTGTGTCAATACCAAGAGTGTCCCATCGTACTCCCATGTATTCTATAGTATACCCCAAGTGATCTCAGGATTATTCAAGTAACAGGCCAGGATCATGTTACTAATCATTTGTTTCGTACACCTGTCCCAGTTGGATGTTATACAATCTACAGATCCTATGGTTTTCTCCGGTAAACTCAGGGTAGTGGCAGCTCTAATTCTTACTTTGTAAGTCATACGAAGGCTGTAGCAGCTAATATTCCTCTCTCTCTCTCTCTCTCTCCCTCTCTCTCCCTCGCTCACACACTCCTTCACTCTCTCTCACTCGTGCCCTTTGCTCTCCCTCCGTCTCTTGTTCTCTTGCACTCTCGCTCACTCTTTCCCCCTCATTCTCCCTCTCACTTGCTTTTTTTCCCTAGTCTCTCTCTCTCTCCCCCTCACTCACTCTCACTCTCTACCCCCACCCCCCCTTTAGTTGCCTATGCAGATCTCAAAGTATATAGAGTAATTGTTTAGGTCCTCGTATGACGGATTGAGTGTTAATATACAGGTACAGTATTACAAGATCGGTAGAGCATCCGTTATTACAATAGCAGTAGCGGGGCTCATATTGGTTATTACAGCCATGCCGAGCATTTTACGGATAAGTAGCAAGATCGACCCTAGCAGTATCGTGAAGTGGAAGTGTTAATTATCTCAAAGAAAGATTTCTCCTGGCCTCTAACTCCTCCTACATATGTAACACATTTGCTTTCACTAGTACTGTAAATTGCTTTTGCAATTAGGAATCAAATGAAGGGAATTAATGTACACTTTGCATGCAGGCAGAAATAAGTAGTGTTCATTTATGAGCAAAATTATGGTCCTGATCATATTATACACTCAATTTATAAATATTGCCTGTAAAACATGTCAGTGGCATCTTGAGGGAAACAACAACAGAGCTCGCTGCTTTCAAGAGGGGCAGATAGATTTGAAAGGATAAGGCACAATCATGCAATATGGTTCTAGCATGACAAGCTTCACACTTCACTTTAAAAGATATCAACATTTCAAATGATTTTTCCATCTAGAAATAAACATGAGAAAATTCTTTAAAACTGTTACAGACCTGTGATATCCGTGGGGCATTTGGTGCAGGAGGAGGAACAATGTCTGCCACTTCCATGTTCATAATGCTGCCTTGAATAGCAGCTGCAGAAAGCGTTTCAAGAACAGGAAAAGAAGACAATATGCTCGACTTGTGCGAGCCATTATTACCCAGGAGCCAGCCCACTCCCATAGCCCCTCCTAAGCCAGCCAACTGTAATCCTCGTTGTAGAAATTTTGACATTTTTTATGCAGGTAGCCTGGCTGTCTTCTGAATCTGAAAAAAGAAAGTTAAAATAAACAACTTATAAAAAAGCAACACTAACAGATGGACAAATTTGTCAGTCTTAACCCCCTTCAACTACTCTACTTTTTGGTTTACAAGAGGAATAAATTTTGTATTTATAAAAATATTATTTTGAACTGAGCAAGGTTATCTATGACAACTCAGTTAAGTGAGTAGATTCAATAACTATTCAGATGTAGTGGTCAGACACTCGCCTGGCGTTCCGCGAGCACTTTGTCATGGGTTCGTATCCTGGCCGGGGAGGATTTACTGGGCGCAATTCCTTAACTGTAGCCTCTGTTTAACGCAACAGTAAAATGTGTACTTGGATGAAAAAACGATTCTTCGCGGCGGGGATCGTATTCCAGGGACCTGCCCGAAACGCTACGCGTACTAGTGGCTGTACAAGAATGTAACAACTCTTGTATATATCTCAAAAAAAAAAATATATCTCAAGATATTTATCGAAATATGCTGGCAGCCAAAGTTTTGATCTTGTCCAAGATACCAGCCACCTCAGCACTGGTGATTGTCCAAGATATCAGCCACCTCAGCACTGGTGGTTGTCCAAGATATCAGCCACCTCAGCACTGGTGGTTGTCCAAGATATCAGCCACCTCAGCACTGGTGGTTGTCCAAGATATCAGCCACCTCAGCACTGGTGGTTGTCCAAGATATCAGCCACCTCAGCACTGGTGGTTGTCCAAGATATCAGCCACCTCAGCACTGGTGGTTGTCCAAGATATCAGCCACCTCAGCACTGGTGGTTGTCCAAGATATCAGCCACCTCAGCACTGGTGGTTGTCCAAGATATCAGCCACCTCAGCACTGGTGGTTGTCCAAGATATCAGCCACCTCAGCACTGGTGGTTGTCCAAGATATCAGCCACCTCAACACTGGTGGTTGGCCAAGACATAAACCACCTCAACACTGGTGGTTGGCCAAGACATAAACCACCTCAACACTGGTGGTTGGCCAAGACATAAACCACCTCAACACTGGTGGTTGGCCTAGACATAAACCACTTCAACACTGGTGGTTGGCCAAGACATAAACCACCTCAACACTGGTGGTTGGCCTAGACATAAACCACTTCAGCACTGGTGGTTGGCCAAGACATAAACTACCTCAGCACTGGTGGTTGGCCTAGACATAAACCACTTCAGCACTGGTGGTTGGCCAAGACATAAACTACCTCAGCACTGGTGGTTGGCCAAGACATAAACCACTTCAGCACTGGTGGTTGGCCAAGACATAAACCACTTCAGCACTGGTGGTTGGCCAAGACATAAACCACCTCAACACTGGTGGTTGGCCTAGACATAAACCACTTCAGCATTGGTGGTTGGCCAAGACATAAACCACTTCAGCACTGGTGGTTGGCCAAGACATAAACCACCTCAACACTGGTGGTTGGCCAAGACATAAACCACCTCAACACTGGTGGTTGGCCTAGACATAAACCACTTCAGCACTGGTGGTTGGCCAAGACATAAACTACCTCAGCACTGGTGGTTGGCCTAGACATAAACCACTTCAGCACTGGTGGTTGGCCAAGACATAAACCACCTCAACACTGGTGGTTGGCCTAGACATAAACCACTTCAGCACTGGTGGTTGGCCAAGACATAAACTACCTCAGCACTGGTGGTTGGCCTAGACATAAACCACTTCAGCACTGGTGGTTGGCGAAGACATAAACTACCTCAGCACTGGTGGTTGGCCAAGACATAAACCACTTCAGCACTGGTGGTTGGCCAAGACATAAACCACTTCAGCACTGGTGGTTGGCCAAGACATAAACCACCTCAACACTGGTGGTTGGCCTAGACATAAACCACTTCAGCACTGGTGGTTGGCCAAGACATAAACCACTTCAGCACTGGTGGTTGGCCAAGACATAAACCACCTCAACACTGGTGGTTGGCCAAGACATAAACCACTTCAGCACTGGTGGTTGGCCAAGACATAAACCACTTCAGCACTGGTGGTTGGCCAAGACATAAACCACCTCAGCACTGGTGGTTGGCCAAGACATAAACCACCTCAGCACTGGTGGTTGGCCAAGACATAAACCACCTCAGCACTGGTGGTTGGCCAAGACATAAACCACCTCAACACTGGTGGTTGGCCTAAACATAAACCACCTCAACACTGGTGGTTGGCCTAAACATAAACCACCTCAACACTGGTGGTTGGTCTAGACATAAACCACCTCAGGATTGGTGGTTGACCAAAACATAAACCACCTAAGCACTGTTGGGTTGGTCTGGACATAAGCCACCTCAGGACTGGTGGTTGGCCAAGACATAAACCATCTCAACACTGGTGTGGTTGGTCTAGGCATAAACCACCTCAGCACTGGTGGTTGGCCAAAACATAAACCACCTAAGAACTGTTGGGTTGGTCTAGACATAAACCACCTCGGCACTGGTGGTTGTCCAAGACATGGCCTCCTTAGCACTGGTGGTAAGAGCATATAAGGTTAGATCACGACAGTTGGCACTTTGTGACTAACTTGAAATCGATAGAGTGAGAGGCCTACGAAGCAAAAACGAAGAAATTTTGGACTGTTAGATTCATAAACCTCATTCTGGAGACATTCATGTATCAACACATTAAATAATCTACAAGCATGAGGGAGAGAGATATGTCTTCAATGCTGGACTTGATATTCACCAAGAAAGAAGAAGAGATACAGTGGGGCCTCGACTTACGATTTTGATCCGTTCCCAGAGACGGGCCGTAAGGCGAAACATTGTAAGTCGAAACAAATTTTCCCACGAGAAATAATGGGAATTGAAATTAATCCGTTCCACACCCCCAAAAATATAAACTTAAAAATACATTTTATACTGAATAAAAAAAATTCTCTAACTACAATACAGTATAGTACATATGTTTATCTTACCTTTATCGAGGACTCTTGTTGGCATATGGAAGATGGTGAGGAGGGGGGATGAGGAGAGGTGTTACTGTTTGGAAGAGGAGTCCCCTTCCATTATAACATCAGGCAGTGACGATTTCTCTAGGGTACACACTCTCCTACGTTTTGCCTGCATACAACTAGGACCTGCTTGTGGCTTACTGCTTGTTTGTCTCACTAAAAATGGAGATTTGTTTTTCCCTTTGTTTTAACATTTGTCTGTAGTGATGCATCACAGTGTCATTGAAAAGATTAAGGTAATGGCCTACTGCAGCTTGTACCTGCTTGATGGGGTTCTGGGAGTTCTTCTACTCCCCAAGCCCGGCCCGAGGCCAGGCTTGACTTATGAAAGTTTGGTCCACCAGGCTGTTGCTTGGAGCAGCCCGCAGGGCCACATTCCCACCACAGCCCAGCTGATCCGGAACTTCTCTTAGAAAACAGTCCAGTTTTCTCTTGAAGATGTCCACGGTTGTTCCGGCAATATTTCTTATAGTCGCTGGGAGGACGTTGAACAACCGCGGACCTCTGATGTTTATACAGTGCTCTCTGATTGTGCCTATGGCACCTCTGCTCTTCACTGGTTCAATCTTGCATTTTCTTCCATATCATTCACTCCAGTATGTTGTTATTTTACTGTGTAGATTAGGGACCTGGCCCTCCAGTATTTTCCATGTGTATATTATTTGGTATCTCTCTCGTCTCCTTTCTAGAGAGTACATTTGGAGAGCTTTGAGACGATCCCAATAATTTAGGTGTTTTATCTCGTCTATGCATGCCGTATATGTTCTCTGTATTCCTCTATTTCAGCTTGATTTGGGCGAGTCATTTCAGCAAAAGTTTGCAGTTCTTTCCATGCTGCCCACATTTTCTTAATTTTTGAGGAAGGGACATTCTGTACTGCCTCTATGGTTATCCTGGACCATTCTCAAGTTCATTGTCTTGAGAATGTCAAGACAATCGACTTGAGAATGGTCCAGGACAGACCGAAACGTTGTCGTCCCTTCACCTTCTAGTGTGTGGTCTGGTCAACATCCTCACATGTGTTTTCATATGTTGAACCTTACCACTGACTTTCTTGGGACCCATGGCAAGATATATAATAATTACTTTTATGTTCAAAAAACAAAAAATCACCAAAATACAGTGGAACCTCGCATAACGATTGCCCCAAAAGACGAACATTTTGGATAATGAACGGACCGATCGGCATCAAATCGTCCCGTATGGCGAACGCTGGTTTCAGCAACGTCAACACCACATGGTGGGGTCGCGCTGCTTCTTGCACATTCTTAGACGCCTCCGACGATACACATAAATTATGTTGTTCTTGTTTAAAGATGCTAATGATGCTGGGATATAAAGGGGTGACTGCTGAGATGTTGCAAAGCATTGACGTTTTTGTAGGAAAAAAGAAATGAAATATCTGATATACAACAAATGTCAAAAAGGTTCGTTCGCTGTTCGGCAGGTAGGCTGCTCCATTATAACAATCTTTCTTTGTTTCAAATGTGTTCCATTTGTTTTGTATTTGTCATTTACGTCTCAATAATAGAGAAGCCTACCTTACATATACACTCAACAAACCATTATGACATTTTCCATTCTTCAAATGTGCTCAATATTTATTTTTCATTTGTCTTATAGCAAAAGGTTCGTTCGGTAGTCGGCAGGTAGGCTGCTCCATGTTTCTTACATACAAAAAACGTAAATAATAAAAAAAATGAAGAATTTTGAAAACCAGTACAAATGTCAAAAAGGTTTGTTCGATGGTCTACAGGTTGGCTGCTCCATGTTTCTTAAATAATAAAAAAATAAAAGAACTGTTGAAACAATTTGAAAAATGGACAAATGCCATAAAGGTTCGTTCAGTGTTTGTCGGGTAGGCTGCTCCATTATTGAAACGTAAGTGACAAATACAAAACAAATGGAACACATTTGAAACAAAGAGAGATTTGACAAATACAAAACAACACATTTGAAACAAAGAAAGAGTGTCATAATGGAGCAGCCTACCCAACAAACACTGAACGAACCTTTTGCTATAACGAATATGAAAGACAAGGGC